CCCCGCAGGGCTCAGAGCACCTGGGCTGGGCGGCCCTGGCGGCCGGGTCCAGGAGGCTCTCAGCCGGTGCCTCGGTGGTTCAAGGGGGGCTGCAGTGAAGTATCAGCCCCTGCCAAGGTGGTGGACACGGTTCCTTCTTTCTTTTTTTGGTACCAGAAATGGAACTCGGGTCTTTGGGCTTGCAAGGCAGGGGGCGGAACTGCTGAGCCATATCCCCGGCCCAGCACAGTTCTTGCTATGTGTGAAGTCGGGCAGAGCTTGGGTGTCCTGAAAGCAGTGTGGGCACCTGGGGTGGGCCTGGGGTCTGGATCTGCAGGGCTAAACAGCAGAGCACCCCAGTCCTCGGCATTCGGAGCAATAGTGTCCCCTCTCTCCCTCTTCCCCTGTCTCTCTCTCTCTTTTTCTTGGTTTCAAGACAGTCTCACTATGTAGTTCAAGCTGGCCTTGAACTCACTACATAGCCCAGGCTGGCATGAAACTCAGAGATCCTCCTGCCTCAGCCTCCTGAGGGCTAGGAGGACAGTCGGGTGCCAGCACGCCCAGCTAGCTGTGCTCTTCTGGAGGCCCCCACTGAGGGACAGGCGGTCTGGGGCCCTCGCTGGCCCACAGCAGACTTGAGCTGGCATCTGAGCCCTTCCCCTCCCGTCCTTTCCAAGTCCCGACTCCGTCCTGGACACCGACGGGGACTTCGACCTGGAGGACACGATGGACGTAGCGCGCCGCGTGGAGGAGCTCCTGGGCCGGCCCATGGACACTCAGTGGATGCCCCATGCGCAGTCGTGACCCGGCCTCCACCTGGCTCCTCCGTCCTGGCCGAGGGCAGCCCTGGGGCGCCGCGCCCACAACCCGCCTCTCCTTGGAAACAAAGCTTGTAATGTGAAGTGTGACCCTGTCGTGACCTTAGTGTTTCTGCACACGGCGGCACCTGTGCAGGCCGTGCGTGTGCGTGTGCGTGTGCGTGCCTGTGTGTGTTCACCTCCGCGGCATTTCCGCCCTCGGTGTCCAGGGCCTGTGGCCGTGCCCTGGGAGAAGGATGTGGGGTGGGGGCGCCGCGGCCGGCCCGGGCCCAGGAAGGGACGGTGCCCAGCTGGCAGGGCCCGGTGGGCGGGGCTCCACACGGCCCTGGCCCAGGTCCCCCCACGCCCCGCCACCCCCACAGCGTCGCGCGTGCTTCGTGCCGATCCCTGCTTTTTCCAGGCCTCAGTGCCTTTGTTTCCAAATTGAGTCTTTCTCGGTTTTGCCCATCACACCTGAATTGGACCCCGGAATTCTGTTCCCGCCTCAGCTCCCGGGCCCCTCACATCCGGGTCCTCCGTTTCCTCTCCCTGTCACCTGGCCCTGCTGTGGAGGAGGAGGAGGTGACAGGCCGTGTCCTGAAGCGGGCAGCTGGGTCACGTGGAGTGCCGGGGGCCTGGGCGTGGGGACGGAGACCCGCAGGCCTTGGGGGAGCCCCAGCCCGGTCTTGCCCCCTCCCCATTTCCTCCGGGGTCACCCCAGGAGCAAGGGGCGGGCGGCGGGCAAGCAGACAGCTGACAGGTCGGCTCCTTGGCCCCTCTCCTAGAGGGGGTAGGACACCCTGGGAGAGATGGCCCGAAAACCTTATTTTTATACATGTGAGTAAATAAACATATTTTTTTTACAAAAATAAATTCTGGATTTACCAGTGTTTGCTGTTCAAGAATACTCCTCCGTAGTAAATTATTTATTGGAAGATGACTTTTTAAGAGCTGCTGTTTGCCTCGCCTGGGTTTCATACACTGATGTATTTTTCTATGCCAGGCGGTGGGCTCTGCCTCGGCCCAGGGGGTCCCCTGCGCGGATGGCAGAGGCCCGGAGCC